ATGCTCATACCTTTCCTGTTGAGATACAGTCCCTTCTGAGTTGTTTGTGTTTCAAAAATAATAAAAGGCACATCAAGATTTACTGATGAATGAGTGAGAAAAAGTGATAAAAAAGAGAATTGATTCACATATGCTGAGGGTAGGTCCAATCCTGTGAAGACTTACACGTCACTAAATGTATCTATGAAGGTAACATCCCAGCATCACTAAGACTAGCTGGGCAAATAAAGTTATGCACATTATGAACTTGCAAGATCAGTCTCTTTAGATTGCACAGCTAGTAACTGAAAATAGCTGCTGCTTTTCAAAAGATAGCCACTTCTCTTCAGCTGCTTTCAACCTGAATGAATTGAAGGGTAATTTTGGAGAAAGCTTCATGCTCCTTTGTTTAAGAACATATAATTGGGGTGAAAATGTCAAAAAGACAAAGGCAAAATGGTAAGAAACACCATAGTGCCTTCTTTGCAAAAAGAAATTAAAGGATCTTCAGAGTTTTGTGTTCTTTTCTTTCAGTTAATAGTTAAAAGACAAATTAATATGTTTTAGAGAAAGGTAGCAAGAGTTTACGAGGACACAAGGTGTTAAAAATTAATAGCATTACTTGGAATTGGCTGATGTAGTTTCCAAGCCATTCTCCATGACATTTGAAAAGTCATGGCAGTCAGGGAAATCCCAGGTGACTGGAAAAGGGGAAACATTTTACCTATCTTTGAAAAGGGTAGAAAGTACGACTCTGGGAATTATCAACCTGACAGCCTTACCTCTGTGCCTGGGAAGATCATGGGACAGATCTTCCTGGAAGCTCTGTTAGAGCACATGGACGACAGGGAGGTGATTCAGGACAGCTAGCACAGCTCCACCAAGGGCGAGTCCTGCCTGACCAACCTAGTGGCCTTCTCCAATGGAGTGACTAATGGATCAGTAAAGAAGGGAAGGGTTAGAGATGTCATCTATTTGGACTTCTATAAGGCCTTTGACACTGTCTCAACATCCTTCACCCTAAATTGGAGAGAGATGGGTTTGATGAATGGACAGTTATATGGATAAGAAAATGTTTGGATGGTCACATCCAAAGGGTAGTGGTCAGTGGCTCAGATCCCAATGGACATCAGTGAGAAGTGGTGCCCTTCAGCAGGTATTGGGATCTGTGTTATTTGATATCTTCATTAATCACATGGACAAAGGGATCAAGAGCACCTCAACAAATTTGCAGATTACACCAAGCTGAGTAGTGCAGCTCCCATACCTGAAGGATGGGATGCCATCCATAGGGACCTGGGCAAGCTCAAGTGGACCTATGGAAATCTAATGAGGTTTAACAAGACCAAGTGCAAAGTGCTGCATCTGGGTCAGGGCAACCCCTGGTATCAACACAGGCTGGGGGATGGACAGATCAAGAGCAGCCCTGGGCAGAAGGACCTGGGAGTGCTGGTGGATGAGAGGCTGGACATGACCCAGCCATGGGCACTCACAGCCCAGAGAGCCAACCATAAAAAGTGGTGTGGCCAGGAGGTCAAGGCAGGTGGTTCTGCCCCTCTGCTCTGATCTGGTGAGACCCCACTTGGAGTGCTGCATCCAGCTCTGGGGTCTCTAGCACAGAAAGGACATCAACCTGTTAGAGCAAGTCCAGAGGAGGCCAATAGGCCAAGCTGATCAGAGGGATGGAGCACCTCTCCTATGAGGAGAGGCTGAGAGGACTGGGGTTGTTCAGCCTGTAGAAGAGAAGGCTTTGTGGTGACTTAATTGCTCCCTTCCAGTACATGAAAGGAGCCTAAAAAAGATGGAGTGGTACCTTTTACAAGAGTATGTGGTGACAGGGCAAGGGAGGATGGATTTAAATTGAAAGACAGTAGGGTTAAATTAGGTATTAGAAAGAAACTCTTTCCTGTGAGGGCAGTAAGGTACTGGGCTCTTCTGAGCCAGAGAAGCTGTGGATGTCACATCCCCAGAAGTGTACAAGATCCAGATTGGAGGAGGCTCTGAGCAATCTGGTGTAGTGGAAGGTGTCCTTCCCATGGCAAGGAGCTGGAACTAAATGAACTTTAAGGTCTCTTCCAACTCAAACCATTCTATGATTCTATGACTAAAACCTGATCAAAATGACTGAATGTAAGCACAAATTCTTCAGTGAATTTTAAAAACAAGTGAGACAGAGGTTACATGCTGCCTCCAGGAAATTCATTCTTCTGGGACAATTCTGGCTCCACCAGGATCAATTGCAAATTGTCACACAATTCAGATTTGTGCAGTGCCACCATCTTACTGTCTTATAAGACCTTCAGTATTCTGGGACCATTTGAGGAACTTTTCTGGGGCCATCAATGGCAGAGAACATACAGGGTTGGATATCTTCCTGTTGGTGATATTGATAGATAAATTGGATGGAGCATGGATTTTTCCTCATTGAAAGCCAGGATCTCATTAGCTGAACACCAACATTATGTGATGTCTGAAAAGAAGGCAGTGACTCCATCCCTGACAAACTGATTGGTGCTGTGATGGTAGAGGCTGGATTTTAAGCCACACTCCAAACCCAGAATCTTGGGGCCTTTTAGGACTGGCCTGCTCATGTTGTCCTTACCACAGTTTTACCACCAAAGCCATTTCTTGCTGACCCTTGATTTGTGTGTGAGTTCAGGCCTGACCCAAGATCCGCCCACACCGAGTGTGCCTGTGATCACAGACACAGCTCTTGGTCTGAGAACTGTTTTGACATGAGGCCACTGATTATACAAGAAGTTCAGTGTCCAATAAAAGAAAAGACATGTTACTACTTGAGCTGCTACATGCCCTCCCTGCAGCTGCTGTGGTAGATTATTCAAGGCTGTTGCCAGTGTTTTGGGGAAACCAGTGCTATTGGGGTCTGTATTGAAGATCACAGTAATGGCTGGTGGGCTACCTGATGACTTTTCTCAGTCCTGACCACTGTTGTCTGTCCAGAGTGTGGCAAAATGCAATAGTAAAGGACTGTGAGTGAGAGAAAAAACAAACATCCAGGTCTGTAGACCAGATGGAGAGAGAAGGGAAAAAAAAAATCTTTCAAGTCTTTAGTTCTCAAATATTTTCAAGAACTTCACTATCTTGTATGGGACTGATTAACATTGATCTGAATTCTCAGATTAAAAAACAAATTCTCTTGGAACCTTCCTTCTTGATAAGTCTGTTTTGTTTCCTGAGTGTTTGTCTGATTGAAATTTAAGCCAGTAGAAGAGAATCTTTGCTTATCATAGCCCTGCTGGTACTGAAAGGTTTTTTAACAGGTATAGATTTAGGCTGTGATCAGTGCTACAGCAGCTACATAGGGGAAGAGACTGCATATAAACATGTGTTCTACAGCTTCTGATCTTACTGCCAGCTTACCTCCCATCACATCTGTCTTAAGGAAATACAGGACACAGACATAGCTCCTTGTTTATCAAGAGTATTGCAAATATGTTGGGGGTTTTGTGTTTTAGGGGTTTAGTTGTCTTTTTTCTTTTTTTTTTTTTTTTCTGGAAATACAAAAGAGAAGTATGGAAAGCAATGTGCTTCTAAAACTCCTTGTCCTATAAGATGCACTCAAGGAGCTCTGTCCTGACATATTAAATTTCTAGAAATTTGATTTTTAAGCAGTCTGTAAGGAGTGTGAAGTCTTATAGTCAGTATTCAGTAGTGTTAACGTTGGATCTATTTTGAGATTTCAGTGATTAATACAAACTTAATTGATTAAATTTGTAAAGTCACTGTTTCTTGCAACTTGATAGATCCAGATTATTTGGACTGTAATGGCTAGGTAGGATCATGTGTCTATGAGGCAGCTGAAATACCTAGAGTATGATGAAAAGAAGCTTTGCCTTTTTAAATAGACTTGGAGTAAAAAGACTCTCATCAATGTTTGCTTGCTGCTTTATCACAATGGAATGAAAAAAATACGTGTTCAACTTTTAGTAGTTGATATGAAAGCACAAAGCGTCGTACTCCACACTCTTGTATTGTATAAGTAGATGAATGACACGTGCTTGAAGTGGCTGTTAGACCATGGTATGGAGACATGATGCCTAGAGGACCTGATGCAATCTTTGGCTTGTTTATGAAGCTTCTATCATTATGTCTACAAAACAAGCTGCCTTCTTTGTTCTCTTTCTTAGGTACCTCATAAAAGAGAGAAAAATTGCATGTAAAAGGGACATTCTGATCTAGAAAAAAATCACAGTAAATAAATATTCCAAATGCTCTCTGTTTCTCTATGCAAATAAATACTTTATTTTAGTTTTGATGTTTAACACATGATATTGGAAAAGTAAAACAATATTAAATAAAATCAAATAAAAAAGTCTTTGCGAAAATTTTGTTCCCAAGACTCAAGCATAATATTCTAAGATTGTCAGAGCTTTTATTTCAAGGCTGTTTTTTTCCAAAAAAATCTTTATAATACAAGTAAATAATTTCTCAAAATTGCTGACATTTGAGAATCCTGTATTTTGACAGAACTCAATGACTCAAGAGAAGTGGCCTGAAAACCAGGCATTTCTGTGACTTAATATAATAATTACAGAAACAACTGAATAATGAACCCCATGGGCTCTGCAAAAATGCAAGAGAAATCATTAAAATGGCTGACCAGCCTCTCCAAAACACTCCTATCACTTACCAGGGCTTTGTTATGGGAGTGTGGATGGAAGCATGGAGGTACACTGGCCTTCATGTCCATCTGTATTTAGCTCCATTTGGCCTGGGGGATTACACACACTCACCTGGGGGGCTCCAGAGTACTCCTGAGGGAGAGCCTCTACTCTGCAATACCTGTAGAGAAAATAAGACATGGCCAATGCATGCACCCACTCTGGGTACAGAAACAGTGTTTAGTTTTGCAGATAAAGTTATGCTCCACAGTGCAAATGGATTCTCTCTCTTCCTTTTTTCAAACATTTAACTATTTTTGTATTGAACTGATGTGAAATTACATGAGCTCGGATAATGTGAATAATGCATGAGATTTAAGACAAACACATGAAAGGAGCTTATTTTTCATGTCAAACAAGTCTTTATTTTTTATGGTACAAATTAAAAGTGACAGATCTGAAGCTGTTAAGAAATACACAAAGTGCAGCTTTACTGACCATACAGATATTGCTCTAGATTAAGTACAGTTTTTGTCAGTTTTTTTATTTTTTATTTTTTTCATGTTAAGCAACCTGTGCAGATAAATCAGCTTTGGTTTCAAAGTCAGAGTAGTAAGGAGCTTTTAAATATCCAGTTTGTTTTCTTGGTCACAAGTCCACCATATCCACTCCTTTTTTATTTATTCATTTTTTAAAACAACACAATACAGTCCATTTTGTACTGCCATCTTTCCCCCTGCATGCTCCATGCATGGAAAAACAGATCTCTTTGCAGTGCTTCATAAGTGACCCTGGTGACCATTCTGTAGATTATAGCACATAGGACAAAAATAATAATAATAGTAATAATAATAATAATTAATAATAATAATAGTAATAATATCACTTTTTAACAATAAATAAACAAATGTGCCCCACATAGTCTCAAGTTGGAAACAAGCAAACCACATGACAAAAAGCTCATTACAAAATGTCTTCCAAACAGATTTTACAGTCAAATATTGACATGGAAATCAATTTCCTCTCTTATCTTCTTATTTGAATGTTGGTCAATAACTGGGTACAAGTAGAGTGCTGAGGTAAAACACTGATGAACAGTTTTATTTTTGTATTTTTTTTAAATAGTAACAGTTTAGTATTGCGAGATTGTCAGCAACATTTAGCCATATCTATACAATGTGCATATACCTACAAACATTGAGCTTTGGTCCAGCATTGAGAAGACGAGCAAAGGCATTTTACATATTTCTTTTTGGTTATAGCTTGAGTTCTTTGATACGCCTCTACTTGTTCCTTCCTAGCTCCTTTTTGCTTCCTTGTTCTCTCTCTTTTTTCTTTTTTTTATCTTTTTTTTATCTTTTTTGGCTTTTTTAAAATTTTTTTCAGTAATAATGTAAAGAAATTGGAACCATTTGAATGCATTTGATTTCTTCAACTGTCCAAAATAGCTTTTTAGTGAAAAACATAAAAAGACAAAATTAGAAGAGTAAGTGAACTCTTGGTTCATTATTCAAATAATATTTTATATATATATATATATATATGTATTTTAAAAAAATGAATTATCAACAAAGTGGAAAACCATTAAACCTTCACATATGACCAAAGAGACTTTTGTTTCATTTGCTGGTAGCAACCTATCTTTTAGTCACATGCAAAATTAAAAGGTATTCAAATGTTATCAATACATGAAAATTGTTTACAAATGGGAACCAGAAATGTTGCCAGTAACATAACAAAACAAAACACGGCCCTCCCAAAGATGTATGACTCACATATAGTTTATCTTCCTAAGAATCTGTTCAGGCACCATTTATGCCTCATAGCAAAAATTTGTGTATAAAAAAATTAATATGAGAAGCATTACAACACTTTATAAATAATTTACAAAACATAATACAAAATTAGAAAACTGTAAAAAAAAATCACTGCACATGAATGATTTTAAGTCTGTGGGATGAACATTATTTTTTCTTCCATGCTGGCAATTTATATTTGTTTTACATTTTCACTGTCCTAGTTATATCCTTCCGATATGTACTTTGGAACAGAAAAGAGCTTATATAACTGCTGCCAGCATATTTTTAAACATTTAGTATCTTTCATACAGTGTTTAGTTAACTTTTTTTTTCTTGGGGGATTTTTCTTCACAGAATTTAGAGCAGTCCCTGGGAGAATTGGAAATTTAGTTTTGAGGCAATGAATGGTTGGTGGTTTTGTTCCCAGGCTGTTGATGGTGGGGATGGAGTGGGGGAGGGTATGGCCTTAAGGATGACTGAACATGTAATTGTGTATGTGGCATTAATGACTGGGCAATTAGGAGTGTTCAGGAGACATGGGTAAGATTTCAGGAGTAACTGCTTCCAAATATGATTTATTCATCCTTGCTTTCCTGTTGGCTTCTGAATGGTGCTCTGATCGTTATCTAGATTGAACAGTGGTGACAATTTCAGAGCTGTTTGGTATAGACTACATAGATATTTCTGAGGATATAGGTGTCTTTGGAGAGAGAAGGTATAAAGAAAACCTAGAGGGGAGATGTTGCTGTGAGACTCTCTAATTTACATGCTGAGCTTGGACAAAGCATCTATTTTGTCCCTCTCAATTTGCCAGTGGTTACTGAGGTGTTTTATTTCCCCAGCATTTATATGAACAGTTGAAAAAGAGTCCATAAAAATTGTCACTCTCCTCCTCATAAAAGCAAGACTGAAAATATCCTAAACATACCCTGCTGGAGCATGAAGTCTAAAATACATTTGCTGGACATGAGTTCATCCTGGAGTACTGGATCTTCAGTGTGCTCCAACACTGACCTCTGAGAGTGCTGACACTTAGAAGCAGCTTCTGGCCCAGATGATGGTCTCTGAAATCTTAAAGCTCCACCAACCATGCAATAAATACTCCACTTTACAAGGCAAATTCCATTATTAAAATACTGAGGGCCAGATTCAAAGCATAGTGAAATCAATGAAAGTCTATTTCTTTCACTAAATTTTGGATATAGCCTGGAGTTTTTGAAAACTCTTTAGTAAGAGAGGTGTTATTTGAAGACTCCAGCACTTCAGAAACTTCTTTCCACATCCTAGGCAGACCACCAAAAATCCAGCACAACCATTCTGAGGTCAGGGAATGCAATCAGGAGTTATACCATCAGAATTTTACCCTCTCCACAGTGAGCTGAACCAATTATCTGATGTTATCTTTAGGGAAGACCTGATCATTCTACCCTAATGGTAGACAGAATCCCAAAGGCTTGAGCATAACTGAGCAGAAGATGAAGATTGCAGGTGACCTTCACAGGACAGACCACACCTCATCAAGAACCTGCAACACCTTTCTCTGCCTCTGAGCCTTGGTATGCTTGTAGGTCCAATGATCACAGTATTTTAGTAGATGCTTGTCTAATCAGAAAGGAAGCCACAGAGATAAACTGTCTTTAAAGAAAAATCAGTTCACCTGAATCATACTGCAGGTAATCTACCTTATATTATCAAAAGACATTCAGTGTTTTTCTCTATGTCCCAATTGCTTAGTCTAGCCACTGGCCACAGCAAGCACCTGCAGTAGCACATCCTCCTACTAAAGAAGTCAACAGGGCAAGCATCAATATGGCATTAAAAAAAGCCAGAAGGAACAAAACACTACCATCAAAATTGTCTATAGTGATGTAATGATCAAAACATCCTCATCACTTCTCAGGCTGTCCATTTGTTTTCATCAGAACCTCAAGAAATTTCTTTGGCTAGCAGGCTTTGGAGAGAAATTGCTTCAAATGGAACCATAATATAGATGCAGTACTGTACCAAGTGTGCAGTTTATATTTATACTACAAAATGAGTTTTGGTAACCTCTTCAGGTTCACGGCCAAAGGACAGAGAAATCTCAAGCTACACATTCAACAAAAAGCACAATGTTCAGTGTGGGCTTGAAAGTTTGTCAGATATAATCCTAATCCTTCTTTGTCCTCATTGCATTCCAGCATATAAAAGTGTTCAGATTTCAGTTTTCTTTTTAAAATTCTTCAAACAGTACTGGGTTTGGGGGGCTTGGGGAAGGGGTGGGGAATGAGCTGGAAGGGAGGAGGCAGCAAACAGAATCAGGAAAAAAACCAGAAAAATAAATGCAAACAAAGATATACACCCTTAGAAGAGAAATACCAAACCCCAAAATTTTTTGGCACCCAAACATTAGGAGATTACAAAACTGTTGACTAAAAGAAAAGAAAGTGAGGTGACTACTACGGATGGCTTTGTACACACCTGCAGGGAGTACAAACAAGGATGAGAGAAATTAATCCTGTATTCCTCTTTGCAAAATACAAATGTAAAAATTTGTAACACAATTTTACACTCATAAAAGAGTAGACTAACAATCTAGTTTGCAATGCCATGTTTCTGACTTTGGTTAATAGATTTCATAGTGAATTAGCACTTGATACCTGAAAGGCTACAATCACTCCTCCAGGTGGCAGGCTTGTATTCTCTTTTAAACAGATAATAGTTTTTTTCTGGTTTTCTTTTTTTCTTTCTTTGTTTTTTGTTGTTTTTTTTTTTTTGTTGCTGTTTGTTTTGTTTTTCCTTAAAATGTGTTAATATTTTCATAATATAGAGAAAAAATTAAGCAGTTATTTGGTTTACTTTAAGTCCATTAAAAAAAACTGGCTTTTTCGTTTTTTTGGGGAACTAATTCTACCACATACACTCTAAGTGTTGTGTATTTTTTTTTGTTTAAAGTTTTTTTTTTTTTTAATAGGAAAACCCATGGACATTTATAAACTGTTCTGTCTTCTTGTAGTTTTCTCAGTCTTTTACTTACAAGGGTGATGAATAGGTATTTTCACAAAGTTCAAATGGACACGTTTCAGTTGGTGTGGGGTTTTTTTTTCTGTGTGATTTGGCTTTTTTTGTTTTGCTCTTAGGAGTTTTCTTCCAGAGAGTCTGTTAAAGGCTCCATAGGAACTGCTGTTGCAGGCTCGTGTTGTTTCAAACGTTTAATTGTGTTCTTCAGTGCTTGCCTCTTATTGCAGAACCAAACTCTAACTACTTCCCGGTCATAGTTCAGTTTCTCTGCAATCTCTGTCATTTCCTGCCCAGAGGGGTGCGTGTTCTTCTCAAAGTGGGCATTCAAGATTTCAAGGGCTTGTGGCGTGAATGAGGTACGCCGCTTGCGCTTTTTGGATGGTTCGCTCCCAATAAACTCGGTAAGGTTCTGCATCCCTGCTCGATGGCGGGCCTCAGCCTCAGCCATCCACCGCTCAAGCACCGGCTTTATCTTCTGGGCACTTTTAGGGGTGATGTCCAGCTTTTCAAACCTGGCAGGATACAAAAGGCCAGGGTTCAGTTTGGCTGTCAGACTGCTAGCTATAGTGTTCTCTTGGGCTTCCTGTGGTAGGAAAAAGTGGCTTCTCAGGATGGTGTGTCTGAGGGAAAATTGAGAAAGAAGAGTCTTACACTGATGCTCTGCCAGGGTGGGACTTCCTGCCTGCCTGACTAATTGACTGGCAGAGGTAATTTACAGTAGATTATGAAAACTGTCAGATAGGTATATCTATGCATAGATATATATATATATATATATATATATATATATAGCTAGAGATTTAGGCTAACACAAAATGAGCACTACAACAAAATTCTAAGTACACTAAATAATACAGGTTAAGAATCACATTTTCATATTTCTGATAATCTTCAAAACCCTTGAGACTAAGTCTAATTACAGGAAATGATATCAAAGGCATTGCTTTTATCGTCTTGTCTTTGTGCTTAATCCTTTTGTTATCTCTCCCATCCCATGTTATCCAAACACCACAGCTTTAATAATAAAACCAATGGCAAATACTCATCTCTGAATATCAGGTTTCCTTTCCATTTTTCAGCAATTTTCACTGTTTGTAAGTTAATGCTATATCCCTTTTCTGGGTTGGAAAAAAATTCCCATAGCCACGGTGGTGTTCAGCTGAAACAGCTGGACACTTTGCAATTATCTTGCTGTCCCCACAATGTGCAAAGACAGACTCATGTTTTCCAGATGAAACCCAGCATAACAGTCCACTAATACGCTGTGGCACCAAGCTGAGTTTATTGTGGGATTTCTGCAAACTGTACCAGAATGATATCATTTCCTGTAAATGAGGTCTTCTATATATCATTTTGCCATCAAAAGTCTTTTGCCAAACCAGATTTTACAAGTATTATAAAACATCTGGAAAAGCAGCCACACAAAGCTTTAATCCTTTCAAAAACAAGCAGAAGAGCAGAGTTCATTTCAAGTCCTATAAGTATTTGTTTCTTTCATTTACTGAATTTATCCTCTTTTGCTATTAAAAAAGTCTTAACCCAATTTCTTTGGTGCCATCCATTTGTATTTTCCCACTTTGCTCTGTCTGCTCTGCACGTTGAGGTATTTAATGCTGCAGAAAGGCAACAATTACTGGATGTCGCTGCTGAGCTCTCCAGCCCAGGTGGTGCTGAAACACCACCACCATCACCACTCATCACAGAGTGCTCTGGACATTAGAGGAACTGAATCAATCCCTTTATGCCAAGAAACTTGATGGCCGGATCTGGACATTTTTAGTGTCTCCATTCAGCACATGGAGGCAGCAAAAAACATTCCAGCATGAAACAAAGCACTTCTCACAAACAAATAATAAGACAAAGAATAATTTCAGATAATGATACTCCAAAGACTTTGTAACTGGTGCCTGACATCTTAATGTGGTATTGACTGCAAGGTGTCAGTCCTTGGTGTCTGGTGATATTTCAAGCTGAAGACTATATTTTAGAATGTATTGTCTTAAATTAAAGGAAATAGTGCTATTTGCATGCAGGACATATCAAGGTAGTATATTGCTCTTATGACCTGCATAGGCCACCAGAAGATTCTACTTTTGTCTTCGAGCTGGTTGCTCAAACTTGTTGCCTTATTGCCCCTTCCACTGACCTGGAGTTCATACTGAAACTCCTTTGTTACGACTGAAAAAAAATTGAAATCTACTATTTCTGAGGAACACATGGTGCTACTGAAGCAGCTTAACAAAAAATGCACAGTCATAGCATGTAATTACACCTCAAAATGGTGTCCATCTGAAGTGGGCAAAGGAAATGAAAAAATGTCTGTAACCTTGCAACTATTTGGGACAATCTCTTGCACCCAATCTCAAGTTCTGAGCAACTTGCTCCTCCAAGGAGCCCTCTGTAAAAGGTCTCACCATCCCAAGTGCTTTCTCAAAGTGTCCGGTAGATGGAGAAAATGAGAAGACAGTAAACTAGGCAAAAGTAAAGGAAACAGCAATGTGTTCCTTTAAAGTATACCATGATAAACAGCAACTTAAGACTACAAAAAAATTCCAGTTGCTAAAAATTCCACCAATTTTAGGCATTCTTTACCAACTGACCACAAAGAAATAAAAAAAAAAACCAACAAAACAACAAAACAAAATCAAAATTAATCCTTAACAATAGGGAGCAATAGCATTCATATAATTGGCATTGTTTGTTAGCATTGTTACTGCAGGACATGTTTGGTATAACGACATACAAGTCTTGAAACAAATTTCCCAGCAGTAGTATCCTTGTATAGACTGAATAAAGGTTATTTTCAACAGGGAGGTATCTTATAAGAAAAAACAGTAGGGGAGACCATAGAAGTGAGAGGATCCTATGGAGCTTTTTGTATTTAACAACAATCAATGGGTTTTATGGAAAATCATTGAGCAAAATGTGAGCTGCAAGCACACTACCCCATACTGATGTTATTTATAACCTTAGTCTTTAACTGCAGGAAAAGTACACTTCCATTCTATGGGGAATACATTAAAAGTATAAAGAGCAGATAAAAAGACAGAGCATTTCATGGATCACCAAGAACAAAATCCACTTAAATGAGCTTAGAGTTGGTTTCTTAGCTTTCACTGATGGAGGACTATAAGGCATTGCCCAAGAGGAAAAAGCTGTTACCTAAGTGTGTTTGTTACCTCATGCATAAACATAGGATTACTGTAATAGACATACATGCATATAAGGTGTTTGCTTCTACTCTAACTCTGTCAAGACTGTATTATTATTTCTTATGATTAGGACAAATTTCTGCTTTGCATACATGGGTTTGTCTTAGTTTTTTTTCAGTAAATATTTGGGTGGTAAAAGATGAATAGCTGCTGGTTTGCAAGATAGCAGGAAAGCTATTTTTTCCCCTTCTGTGTTGCCTAGGTAAATCATCATTAACATCCTGTATGTGAAGTGCTAACCACAGTAATACAGGTTTAACTTAGCAGGGATGCAGCCATGAAATATTTGTTCAGTAACCCTATCTGTAGAAAATGGCACAGTATGAAGAGGGTCAGCTGGTGCTTATTGAGCATCAGCAGGATCTCCAACTCATCTATGGAATTAAGTCTCTATGCCAGGAACATTGTTTCTCACTTGTTTAGAAAATGAGGGAAAAAAAGAGATGAAAAATCACTCTAAATATACACAGTAAGAACAATTTATATGTCAGATAACAACATTTAAATATCAGGTTAAATTATACACTCTAACATTATGAGACTCAAACACAAGCATGCTCCTCACAATCAGCTGGATCATTATTAAGGACAAAGAAAGAAGAGGAGCTATGATGTAACTTGTTACCTGCAGATGGCAGACTGGCTATAGGCTGGGCCTTCGGTGGCGCTCAGGGCTTGGCCAACTTGAGTCTGTGTCAGGCCAAGGGACAGGCGCCGGATTTTAAAAGCTTTGGCAAATTCTCTTATTTCTTCCAGATTTACCCCATCCACTTCTCCAGTGGCTGTCTGAGGATCTGTTGAGATATTTTTTAATCATGTCAGTTCTTTGCATCACATATCAGTGGGACAGGCTTACAGCCATTTTCATTGCCAAAACTTTCAAGTTCAATTTTTTTAATACTGACCCCTTTCTCTTCTTTCCCAAACAGAAACAGACTTGCCTTGTCAGGTGTGTTCAGACTGCTAAGATGCTAACTGGGCTGCAGTTGTCTGCAGATGGAAGACTTGTCTTTGCTGAACTCCTGACAAAGGCCAGCTCACCTTTGAGGGAGAGCATGCCTGGATTCCTTGCTACCATTTATGCCTTGTAAAGTCTTCTCTGGATGGAGGAGTCACTTTCCCTGTTTTCCCTTTTTATCACATAGCACAATGGCTGGTGTTAATAAATATAGTTCCAGTCTGTGGGGAGGGCTATATATACTAGGAGCTGCTTGGATTTTTAACTTGAAATCAAGTCTTTGTACTTTATCTAAAGTTAATGCCAAATAAGAAGATTCACAACTATTTCTTCCCTTTTACACAATACCCAACCTAAACTGCCGCATGAATGTCCAAAATAACCCAGCAAGTGAACAAGCCTAAAATAATTCTGCCTTGAAAACCTTCCTAATTTATTAATTGTCTTTTAAAATATGCCCTTCTGAGAAGCAGCCTTTCAAGCTTTTTTTTTCTGCCTCCCATCAGGTCGATAATCAAGGAGCAGCAACACTGGTTTTGGATGGTAATGCTGCACAGTTTTTTCACTTTTACATTAGCCCCTCAGAAGATAATGCTTATGATGCTGTGAGAATAAATATGTCCTTCCTTTCTATAGCAGTTTACTGACACAGAAGCCTTTGTCCCTGAAAGGGCACATAATAAAGCATGTCTACCACAGAAAAGCTCCTTTGGAGCTGGATAACTCGGTCAATTTAGGACTTATCAAGGGAAATGACACAACAGCTGGAGAATGGAACTTCCACCCCCCACCCCCTCCCAAGCTACTGATCCCTGACTAAATGAAAGTGTTTGCCAAGTCAGAGACAGCATGGGACTGGGATGGTAGAAGATTTCAAAGTGTTGTGCAATCCTGCATGTAGTGAAGCCATTCTCCCAGTAAGACATCTCTATTGTTCTTCACCTCATTCCTCAGACTCCGAGGTGAAAAGTTTGCAGTACAATAACCCCTCAATTTCTGTAAATGCAAGCAGTTGTCCAAGGACAGAGCTAGACTACATTACCATTCTGAACCTTTTATGAGAATGGCTCCTGCTAGTATGGCTCTATTGAGGGCTTATCAGCATTGCAGTGGCAAAGCTTTTATTTTCAGGGTTTTATAAACCTGGTGTAAAATTTCCTAGTGATGGAAACATCCTATGCAAAAATCCTTTTGTCCAGTAATAGAGGGAAAAGGGTTTTCTGGCATATAAATTTACTCTGTTGCTTGAGTGTAAGAAGCACAAATGGCAAAAATATTTTTTTAAATTCTGTGCAACCAGGGACCACATGAACTATGCATACAGATAAACATGCACATAGGCTGAGCCTTGTTTCAACGATACTCCACACTCAGAATCATCTCTGCTGTTCTCACTGCCGTACTGGTGGTCACCTGCACACCCATGTACTCAGTCAGTACAAAGCTAGGGTGCATATTGTTTGATTTAGGAGTAAATGCTGTAACAGTGGCCACTGAAGTTTATACAGTAATTGCCTTCAGAAGCATGGACTTTTCCTGCTTACTCCATATCGTCTATCTAGCATATCAGTTCTGAATTTCAGAGACTCAGAATGGAGCTGCAGACTTGTCTGACTTTAGGTCTCTATACTAAATATCATAAATGATACTGGCTTCAAAAACTCCCCTGAGCAAAGTACACTAAAATAGTGACTTTCCTCACCTCTTTCCTTCTGTTAATTTAAGGCCTCTGACTAAGGCTGTTAGGAATGTAACAAAGGACAATTCAGGTGTTGCCAGAAAACTTTCAAAGTAGCAAACTATGACACCTGCAATCCTCCCCAACTCCTGTTAGGAATAAAAAGGGAAGTGAGAAAACGAATTGTAGAGAAATTATAGAGAAATTCTGCCAAGCTCTGCTGGATCTAGAATGATCTGGCATTGTTGCAACAGTGAGCATCATGGAAAGACTGTTCCTGCCTGCGGCACTTGGATGAGGGTAATATTAGGCTGAGCTCTCCTTGAGATGAGAAAAAAATCTGTGATGCCCTTCAGTAATATGGGAGTAGAATATAGCATACAGTGGAATATCTGTTGAGAAAAAAGGCTTCATTGTTTCATAGCATCTTTGGCAACAGGAAAGTACTAACAGATGGACTGAAACACTGAAATGTTTTATCTTGAACTCTAGGGAAAATAGAATTTGTGTGAAATTGGAAGCACTTCTACCTTGGGCATGATTCAAAGCCCTTTGAAATCCATGGATCTTGTCTTCTGTCACCTCTCTAAAACACAAATAGTGCTAGGAAGACCATTCCATTGGCACCATCATTTGTCTGTTTTACACTGTTGCATTTAACTGTCATCAATACAGTCTTAGACTGTGTAGTCTAAATATGCATGTTCATAAACATATTCAAGGAGATTATGGACTTTGTTTTAACATATTCTGAGCTTTCAAAGCAGTTGAACATATAGCGCCCTTCACATTTTAGGAAGAGTAGCTTATTGAAGAGAGTAAATAAACTGGCTCTTTTCCAATTATGTGGATATCCCAGAGAAGGCTGCCCAGTGACAACAGGTAAATAGAGAATGCCAAACCCATTGAGTGTTTGGGATCTACAGTAATGGATTTCAAGACTCCCATCTTTACATTATTGCCTGAGAAAACAGTGGCTGCCTATGAAACTACTGGGTGCTGGAGAAAGGTCACAGGGTTGTCTTGGACCATTTCAGAGGATATGGGTGCCTATAACAAAAAGGAAGACAGCTAAAATTCCACCAGCCATCCTGGTGGATGGGGAAGACAGATGAGCAGTATGGAAGAAATGAAATTCACAGGCTCTCCTGCATAGAAATCTGTTTTTTCCTGCTGAAGGGAATACTTCTCCCACCTTTGAATTCTTCTGAAAATCCTGCATGAGTTTGTTGTTGAGTGAAAATATGCTGTGATTTAAATAGTTTGGGGAAAGAGCTGCTACAGAGAAATCAGTGTACCCTTAAGGAGAAACCAAATTTCTGTTGCAGAGTTCTGCCATGGGAGGGATTGCAGGGGGATGATTTCCCCAGTCAGAGAGGAGGAGAAATAGCTGGCTGAGGAGGTCCAAAGGAAAGTAAATTGGATAAGAAAGGCAGGACAAAACATTGATAATGGAAAATGGAGTGGAGCTCAGGGGAAAAAAAAGAATAATAATTTGTTTATGGGAGGCATTTTAATTTCACAGTAACAGATGACAGTAAAATGAATTTGGGAGGAAGAAAGGAACTTCATGGAAACACAAGTCTCAGAGCACAAGGGGAAACCAGTGATTTCCACAAAGAGAACATATGGTGGAAAAGTTAAAGAAATGAGCAGAGGGATGCATTTCAGAAGAGGAAAATGAAATGGAAAAAAGGGAGGAATAAAGATGTAGAATTGAATGAAGAGAAAATAAAGAAGACAAAAGAGAATACAAATAGGATTAGACAACACAAAGAAATCATACAGAAGGGACAGGAAGAGTAGAGATGGATCTTGCAGTCCTTGCTTAGACAGAACTTATTTTAAAATATTTTTTATTTGGAAATAACTGTTATGCTTTGTCTCCAAAATAATTATCACTTGTTGCCGGTGAGGGATGAAGGGGTGATGATGAGAGAAAATGGAAAAGCTGTAAAGAAGACAACAACATAAAGGGAAAAAAAGGGACAAGAAATAAAAAAAGAAAGAGAAATTAAAAACTAAAGGTAAGGAAACTTCTTTGAAATTAAGGAACGTTAAAGAAAAAAAAAAGCAAAATCATACAGAAAATATTACTAGAATGAAAAGTAAAAGTAATAAACCCAAGGAACATGGAACACTACAGTTAATAGAGTTCTTATGAATTTCTCCTTGTACTTTAATAATTTCTCTGGGGTGAAGCAACATGTTGTGAAAGAGTTACTCTCTTTGCAGTCAGTGTGCAGAAGCTTGCTCCAAATAATTATTTGGTGAAGTCTGGATGCTCTATGCAATTTTATTAACTGAACAAGTGGCTAAATGTGACTAGTTTTACATGAACTTTGCTATATTTAGCAATTATTTCTGGAATACAGCAATTCTCTGCCAAGGTACTCAGCTCCAGGACCTCTGCCGGAGGTCTGGACTACAGTTTCATAAGGAATTAGGAAAAGAGAGCAATATTCCTACCTCAGGAGGAATAAAGAAATCTAAGTTAGATTCAGGTGGCCACAAGTTTTTTCTTGCTGCCCTCATGACTTCTCTCAGAAACAGTGACCCATTGCCTGTCTCATCCCACTAAAAGACTTTAAATAGACTTTCAGACACTGCATTTCAATTGTAGGCCCTTCATACAAAGCTTTGCAGCCAGTATGGGATCTGGGAGTCTAAGAAGGCAACAGGCATGACAGAGAGGTGCTCCTGCCCTTCAGTGATCTGCATCTGGAAAGTGAACAGATTCTGTAAAGAAGTGAAACAAGGATGACTTTCTATCTACATTCTCATGTACAGCCACGGTTTTGTGTAAATGGCTTTTCAGTCACATGAAACAATTTTCAAACTCATGAAGGTCATTTAATACTATTTGTCCAAACAGTATCTATCACTGGTTTATCACTGTGAAAGAAAAGCTATAAAGGATCCCATCTGATTTTTCATGTTTCATTACACAGATGGTTTGATCTTTCCTTACTGAACTGACCATATTTTCCACTTTCTTGTAGGCTCTTTCCACATTAGACTAGAAGAGAGTAAGTAGCTCTCTTGTGCCCTGTAACACCATCCCTGATGTGGCGGCTCAAGCAGGCTTAGGCATGCAGGGCTAGCTCCAGTTTGTGGTGGCTACGTGCTCTCAGGAGTACGCTGGACAGCCTCTAGGGATAATTGAGATGACTGGTTTGCTTATGTCTGTGTAAGGTTACTATGTAAATGAGAGAAGTGAGTTGATCTGCCCCTTATGCTATTTATTCTGTTAGTCTTGAACAGAAGAGACTGAATGAAGCTGGAAGCATAAACTCAAAATAGCTCTGCAAGTTTTTTATTTATGTTAACGTGGAATTTTGTTCAGAAGATCCCTATCAATAACATTTTCTTAAATGTTTTGGAAAATTTGAGTAAACTTCCAAGTGCAACTCCTTCAACAATCAGTCTGATTGTATGAAAAGTTTCCCTGCCTGTAGCTCTTTTTGATAGAACACAGTAAAGACATGGAGACTGACTTGATGCTCTTCTTTGTGATCACTTTTCACTGTCTTCTGATGGCTGCTAGGGAGAGTGGGAGTGGCATCAGCAGGATTTGGATGCAAAGGGGGCAAAAATTAACCTTTAGTCTAAAGAAAAAATTAGGATAGAAGAAAAAAAAATTGACTTGAAGATTATTGAAGAGCAGGGATCAGAATTTGGACTGGAGGGAGAAAGGGCCTGACTGTGCTGAGTACCACTCACTGTGATAGAGGGAAAGAAAAAAGGAAAAAGAGGTGGCACTAGTGATAAAACAATATAAAGGAGGACAGAAACTACCTAATAAGAAGGTTGGTAAAAGGGTACAGATACAGTCTGGAGACAGTGACTGAGTGGGAAATGAAAGGGAGGAGAAGTTGGTAATGATGGACTGTGAGGAAAGGACTGCAGTGAGAAAACTAGAAGAACAATAGCATGGAGGCAAAAGGACAGTGGGTTGTGTGGAGAACAGTATAAAGAATTAACGGGACTAGAACAAGACAAGTAGTGGATGGAGTCAAGCCTGAGATGATCAAGTAAAAGTTCTATGTTCATTAATGTATCTCCCAGTTGTGCCCAAATTGATATTCCTGTGCCTCATACTCTGCTCTCTGCCAAATCCATAAGCACAGCATGCTTATTTCAGAGCTGAACCAACAAGATGACAACAGAACTATCCGCTTTTCCATTCATTCAATACATCTCCTATTTCCAACTATGAACATAAAGATTGTCACCATATGACTGATTTATGCTACTATTCTGCTTTTGAAACAACCTTGAAATTTATCCATACAAGAAATGAAGCTAAAACAATATCCTTAGAGCTGCACAAATTAACACTCAGAAGTTACAAAGTGCTGGAGTTACAGCAGCCCACAACACAATGTACCATAGTCTTTGAGCCCTGGATTATCAGTTCTTTCTCATGTGCCTCGTTCAGTGCACAGGATGAACTGTCCTTCATTACAAATGAACTGATTGATGTATTGCCTTTTTACTTGTTCAGTGTGTGGCCCCAGACCTCTATTAAAGCTCTTCACTAAAGACATCTCCTCTTGAGCTCTTCTGGTTTCTTTAAAATCTTAATTTATTTTCTTGTGTTTCTACAAGGTGAGGGTCTTCCCCTTCTCATTCACAGAGAAGTGGACAGATATTGAGAGAAGAAGCAGTTTTGGGTACCCAGTCTAGGTCAAGTAGGAAATGATTTTTTAGACTGTCTGTAAATGGTTCTTGATACAGTTCCACTATGAAAGTGCACTTAAAATTGTAACTATGAGTACCGGGTTCTTTGGTAAATTAAAGTCCCGAGTCTCAAGCTGGATATTGAGGGAGCACTTGTGAAAAATCTCTTTTAAGTGATTTGCCTGTCTTGCACTGGAATTACACAGCAGACAGAAGGCTTCAGCTCCTCAGTCCTCTATTGCCTCAGGCAAGACCATCCTTCACTCCTCTATAGCTTCCTACCTCAAGTGATATGTAAACTGAGGAACAGATTAGTGAATCAGGTAAAACCCTGGGACAGCAGCCACCTGTTGTGTTAGTAATTCTGATACATCCCTAGGACAATTCCACTGGGAATGCACTGAAAGAAGGATGAGGAAAAAAAAGATGATTGCATGATTTTAATCACAACAATATACTGTTATAATGAAATACATGCTCTAGGAGGAATTGCATACAGTTGAACAAACAGCTGTTTTTCAAGTATTTTCTAACTTTGGATGGATTTATCCTGTAATCTTAAGAGGGCTTCTTCCATGTTGCATGTATTTTAAATAACAATGTCCAAAAGAGGAGCTATTCTAGACTAGCTATTGAAAAATAACTCTGCACCACTAGCTATTTTACTCAATTTGCCCTCATGGACTAGAGGTAAATTTAATGTATTTGTAATGTAAAACCTCTTCTTTGTCTTCCTTCTACAAGCATGTCTATGTGAGAAAATTTACTAGTGACAATGCAATAGCATTATAATTATATCTTTATCTATATGCAGATATTTTCATTCCAGAAGAAAAGTATTCCCACTGGGAGTTACATCAGCATAATTTTACCACTATAGCTCTACTAGTAATTTCTCCATATAAATGATCTCTGAAACAATCCAACCAAGATTTTTTCACATCTTCCCTTGCATAACAGTTTCTCCAAGCCCTTCATAAGCTTGTATCAGTTACATATTTTTCACTACCAATATGGCACAAGCTGCAGTGTTTGATTACTCAGAATATGTACATGGAGTATCATAGAACAGGGTCATACAAATCAATTGGATTTTTGCAGATGTGCAAAAACTGTTAGTGCTCCTTATGTATACTGTCAGCCTGTGGTTTTTGCTATGTAAAAGACCAAGTTAATGCTGATAAGGTAATAGCAAAGACTCTCAGCTGTGCAATCTGGAAGAAAGTGCTGTTCAGGTCAGCCGTTCTAATTCTAATACTGGAACTCAGTTATTTCACTGCAGTGTGCTTCTCCCTTCTCCCCAGTGTGTTCCAGTTCATTCTTGTTTAAGTGTTGAGAGCTTTTTATGGCAAGAAAATCTCTCACTCTGGATTTGTGCAGTATTAGGTCTTGCAAAATGGTTTGCTATATCACCCAAGCAAAGAAACAAGCAGCTTAACCAAAAGTAGGAGTACCTGTTTGCCAACCAAATTCTGAGAAATGTATTTCATTATATTAAATGATTCAGAAACTTCTAGCTTCCAAAAAACATAAACTACATTTCAGTTATAACAATTGTCCTCATGAGTCAATTAATGGCTGCTACCATTTTTAAGACCATTTTCAACACAGATTAAATTTCTCAAGGCATGTTTACCTTAAGCCCCATCCATGATAACACTTAGTAACTCACACTGGTGAGAGTCAGCTATTTTGCAATATACAATCTACTATATTAAAAAAAAAAACAAAAGGAGGGAAAGCAGATTGGAAAACTCAGGAGCGAGGAGAACAAACAGAAGGGAGAATTCAGGAGAGCCAGGGAGCAATACTTACTGCTGACTAACTGGCCAACACTCAAAGCTGAAGAGGAGGAGGATGAGGAGGAAGAAGAGGAAGCCTGACGCACTGGGCTTTGAGACATAGATGCTTGACTGTGAGCCAAATGCAGGAGATTGGATTGTGAAGCTGCTTGTCCCACTTGCGTCTGGGAAGGCTGATGGAGCTACATGTTAAAATGTAAAAATAGGTATTTAGAAAGTGAAGCAATAATAGGAAACTTGCAGTGCACCATCTCACCCATCTACTTCTGGGGAACAAATCACATAGGAGCATTAAACACCATGGGCTTTATTCAAGTGACAATTTTGCAGGAGGAATCTGAGCTGCTTAGAATATTGTCCAATTGGAAGGTAAATACTTCTTTTGTAATGGGAGATAAGAGACTTATGACATTACAGAAGGATTCTGATTTATTAAATACATATCCTTACCTGTTTTCTGACTCATGAAAGCAAACTTTTATTCCCTACATGGATTCTCATAGAAATCAGGCTTGTTTCACAGAGGTCCTTTCATATTGCAGGACCAGGGCCAAGAAGAATGGGAATGGGGAAGAGGATATAAACTGAGCAAAAATCCCTTTCCTACAGGAATCAGTGATTTGTTTTATGACATCATAACTGGCAAACAAACAAAAATCATGGGAACAGATAAGTTGTCTTTGACTAAAACACACACAAAAATTTCTGAGCTCTATCCACATCAAGACTGTATCCAGTATAACACATGTGAAAAGTCTAGTAAGTATGGTAGATGCAAATGATACATGAATTGACTTTCTAAATTTTTTAAACAAATATTACAGGAGTGTAGTCTTTGTTTGTTTACTAGGGGAATGGAAAGAACCATCAATCCATTCTGCCTATAATATGCTTTCATGTAGCATTGAAATCTAGGAACATTCTCTGGTACTGATTTTCACATAAAACTCTCAGAAAATTTGAAGGGCAGTCTCTCTACAAAATAAAGGCACACAATGGACTTTACAGTTTTGAATTGAATTCTAGTAGTCCAGTACAATCTTTTCAGAGCATAAGAATACAGTAATACAGGTCTGATACACTCTAGTGACTGCTGCTTATTATACCTTTATTTTATGTTATTCTTGATATTGATCAAAAAAGATCATAAAAATATTCTAAAAAGGCTTCACTTCACTGCAGCTGTTATCTGCATTTTCTACAAGGGAAAAGATAAAGGCCTATGTGGCCTTGCTTGAAGTCAGTAATTAAAATCTATTTCTTGAATGCTAAGGAGTATAAGGTTTTCTCTTTTGATATCTAACTGAAAAAAATGACTTTAGAAAAGAAGCTACATTCATTAGTGACACTCAAATTATATGTATTATCCTCCCAGCACACATAGAAATCTGTCTGATGCTAAGTAGACAACAAATTGTATAAACCTGTAGATAAAGGTATCTGTTCACATTCAAGATGACATTTTCTGTGGAATATATATGAAATATTTTAATGACAATATTCCTGTTAGAGTCTGTTAAGAATGGAAAAACTTCAATTTCTTTTTCTACCTTCTACATGGAATAATATAACAGAAAATGAAGGAAGAAACTTTGATTTAATCTTTAATAAATATTAAAGTTATATAATTAAGTATAATTATTTTATATTTGTAATTTATATAATTAAGTCTAATTATTTATCTGGCCAGTTTTAGTGTATTTTGACTTCCTTGTGGATTAATAAAAAAGGCATTTTGTTATATGTAGGATTTTTTTTCCTCAAGTACATTAACAAAATATAACTGGAACTTTGTCAAGGGGATTTCAGTTGAGAAGCTGATTGAAAGGCTTCCAGTTTTCAGACTCATGCAAGGACTGAGCATCTTAAAAAAATTCTCTAACAGCTGGATTTTATCTACAGAGAATTCCCCACTTAGATAGTACTTTTATAATATCTTCTCTTAGGGAAACATACCACTCTCAGGGCTGGCCTCTTTTGAACACTGAAGATGTGGACTGCCTGCCCATGCATTATATCCACATCACATCCAGACTGCACATTTCAGAAACAGACAGGTGTTTGGTGTCTGGGTCTGTAGTCTGAGGAAATCTCTGGCAAAACTAAAGATTTCAGCGCAGCCAAGGGAAGATAAGTACTGTATTTAGATGAGTTAGATGCTTTTACACTATGTGGAACAGCCTAAGAGATGTTAGTGCTTATCTGTGAGGATGCAAGAGAAAATGTAGCAGCTATCTTTAAAGAGAAAGATCTGCCAAATTATAGGCCAGTCAACTAAATTTCAACCACAGTAAAGTACTGAAGAAAATAATCAAACAATTTGTAAGCTCTGGCAAGAAAACAAGGTAGCGACAGACAACTTGGATTGCAGAAACAAACTGTGTCAAACCAATCTGGTCTCCCTCTAAGACAGGGTAATTGGCCTTGTGGACCAGGGAAAAGCAGTAGGTGGTTTGACTTTACAAGTGTCTTGATACTGCCTCATGTGACATTCCTTAAAATCTCAGGAAGCATAGTTTAGGTGAAATTGCTGCAGAATGAATGCCAAAATATTTGGAAAGCAAAACTGAGGATGAAGTGTCTGGGGAAAAAATGGGCATGCATGGTGCTTCACAGAAGTCTGTCCTCATTCAACACTACTCAATATTTTCTTAATGGCCTGGATGACGGAGCAGAGAACACCATTACTAAATTTACATGCTGATGACATGCTGGGAGGAAATTTTGACAGGCTGGATTAAAAGATTAAGAATCAAAATATTTCTGTGCTTTGAACATACTGGCTGCGAACCTGTGGTATTGCAAAAGTGAGGTAAAGGCAGTTCCCATACCAAGAAATGTTAGTGGGAGTGATGTCTGCAGTGCATGTGAAATGCATCTTTTCTGCTGAGCCCTGGAAAGACCTCTGCAGAGGAGGATGCCATGTCCACAGCTAGGTGCGAGACTGCATTAAAATCTAGCCCAACTAGAGTTCAATAATTAGAATGGCTAAAGGCCTGGGAGTTATGAAGGTTTATGAAGGCACCTGTAATGAACTGGTCATGTTTAATCTAAAGGAGGGAAGACCAAGTGGGATATGATGCCTGCTTTGAATATAGGCATAGCTAATGAAAAGAGGACATAATTATTCTGTCCTTTATTCATTTTATAATGGGTCTAGTTATCTGGAAGGTTCAAATTAGATGTTGGGAAAAGCTTTCTAACATGGCAGTGAAACACTGGCATAGATTACTGGTGGAATCTGTGGGTTTCTATGACAGTAGTTAGGATCAAATTAACTAAAAACTGGAATAGTTACTACAGGTTGGACTGGATAATCTCTTGAACCTTGATCTTCCACACATAATTTTTTTTTTATTCTACACCATTTCCCATCGATATTTCTCAGGGAGAAAGTAAATCCAACATTTTCCAGCTATGTTACAACATAGTCACTGAACAGTTCAACTACTGAGCACTTCCACAGTGAAACTGAAGCCTCCAGGAAGCTCTAGAACAAGAGGGCACTCCGCATTTTTCAGCTCTGCATGAAAGGCATGCACAAAGTCAGCCACTGTGTAGCATGTGCATAATATGATGGTTGAGTCTAGAAAGTGTTTGAGTCTCTGCACATGTTTTGTACCATGTATATATTTTTAAAGTATCTGGAATAATCTTGGCAACTTTCTTGTTGAAGGTCCAGAAATATTTAAACAAATATAAGAAATTCTCATAATTAGGTAGGGCATAAAGGAATATGGCTAATGAAGTTTGGATTCACAGTAACCTTAAGTAAGGTAACAGCAATATATAAGGGATATTTAGAGGTTGGATTCTAACACGCTGCTTTTGAGGGAGAAGTGAGCAATGGGGTTGAAGAGGCTGAAGAATCACTTTAAGACCTGACCAAAGACTGAGGGAGGATTCCATCTCTAACTCCCTGCATTATTTCCAGCATAGCCTCTGCTTTACAGCAGATGATGTTAAGCTGTAAATGTCCTGCTTAAAAAACAATGATTGTTATCTACGGCATGAAATTGCATTAAAATACTCTCTATTTTCATCCAGTATAATTTCCCCTCCAGAAATAGCCTTAAGGAGAGACAACGATTAGATTATGAATTAGATTCTAGATGACAGATTCAATTTGTGCTTGCAATAGCTGACTTTTCTCAATTTTGGACACGTATGTATGATATGAATTATATTTATGACTGTTGTGCATTTTCCATCCAGAGACAGAAGGAGGCACAAAAATTACAGAAACAGTTGCTGCAAGTGCCTTTCTTTGTAAGTGGATATAGGAGACATGCCAGAATGATGACTGTATGGAACTGTGATCTGCATCTGGCAGGAATATGTGTATGCACACCACAGCTAGTGGGATGAAGTGAATATGAGAAGGGAAAAGTGCATCATAACACTTTATAAGAATTAAACTGAAAGCTGCGAAGGGCCTTATTTCTATTTCTTTTGTACAAGCTTTACATATTGCTTTCAACCGTGAAGTTAGTGTTGACTGATACAGAGGTATTGACTGATGCAGAGGTAAAGAATTAGTTAGGTCTGGAAGACTGAATTTTGTTCTTAAATTATGTAGGGCATCCCTATGCTTGGGATGGTTGACTGGAGCTCTGTGTTAAAGGCCTTATGAGATCAGGGATGTTGTTCTCTGCATCCAGAAAGCTGCAGAAAAGTGATAGGGTAACAAGGTATTTAGCATAAAATAAGGAAAGGTAAAGAAACTAAGTGGAAATCTAGAAAATTTTTGATGGAATTTTGCCCTGTATTATAACACAGTTGCTACTTGGTTTTACGGAGAGTCTGGACAAACAGCAAGGGTGAAATATGGACTTAATGGAAAGCAGAAGAAAAGAATGAACTTAAATTGCAGTAAGGAAAGCTATGATCAGGCATCAAGAAGACATTTAGAGCACTAAGTAGAGGTGCCTAGACTGCCTAGGGAGCCTCCATCACTGAAGATTTTAAAGAACAAGCTAGACAAACATCTGTCAAGAATGATATAGGGACAAGTGATCCTGCCTAGTGCGAGGAGACAAAATACATGGCCTCTTCAGGTCCTTTTCAGTGTTATTTTTCTATGATCATGGAAAGGAAATCCAAGAGATAAGGAAACACAATTAGAGAAGACGCAGGTGAAATAGACAAGTGTTAGAAGGAGGGCAGAAGAGAGGAAACAAAA